TTAGGTGTTGTTTCTGTATAGATGCAAATAATGCCAAAGTAATTAATATTAGTTCTTCAGGATTTTGATTAATGAGTATTTCCAAAGAATAAAAATAAAATTGGGTGTGGCCAAAGTAAAATAATTTCTTCAGTGTTTTGTTGTAAACGTTTTAAGTAATATGATTAAACACAGATCCTATTTCGGTTGTTTTTTTTATAGTTCAATATTTCGTTTTACTTGTCTTATTACACTAGGATCTGGAAGAGTTGTTATATAACCCGCGTTCTGGATGATGTGAGGGAAGTTTTTGGCGTGAGGTGCACAGAACTGTGGGTAACCCACAAGAAACATTAATACTGATTAAATAATCAAAATCGGACGTCATAGGGTCAAAAGCTGTTTGTCCGCATCCTTCCACTACAACCCGTCAGATCTTCATGTAGTAGAGGCCAATGAAAGTATAAAAAAACGAAATGAAATGTAGATCTGTATTTTTTATCGATTGCTAAAACAAGAAATGGATAATATAAGCTGAATTTGTCATTTGCAGTGTATATACATACGCCTACATTAAATAGTACATATTGATGTAGGATCACGCTTGTTGGATGTTTGAAATACCATTGTTGGCAAGATTTTATTAATTAAAGGGGTAGTTATTAGTATTAAATTGTAGCACAAATCTGAAATCTTCTCGATTTTCATTACCCCCTTTATCTGTTTTTTGAGCAATGCAAATAGCCACATATTCATTCTCAAACTATTTGAATGCACTTGTTTAACATCTTTTATTCCATAGTATTATCACCCTTACTGGTATATAAGCTTACGCTAACTGTGACTTTTTGAATATCCTTTTTTTTTCTAGGTTAAATGTATTTTGATTGTATTAAGTGATATTTTATTTGAGTATTTCTATGTTTTAATTTGTTAATGATGATTTCTGTTGTTTGTATGTTGTATAAAATGTAGATATATGTTAACTTTGTATAAATTGTTGATTATTCTGCATATTTTTAGAACACCTGGTACCACCTCTCAGTTATTGGCATCAGGGTAATTCTTGTTGTTGTACTTCTGAATGTATATAATAGTTGATATAGGAAGTGAAAGAAATAATATCTTGAAAACATCTATACTAATATTTGTGACTGTCATTTGTTTGTCTGTCTGTCTGTTCGCTCCAGATTGGCGGCTACACTAGGGCTGTCCCGAGGCTGAAATTTGCTGTGTAGGGATAGCTTTTACCAGGGTGTAACATAGGCCTGGTGGCAATGCCCTACTATTCCCAGTTTTTGAGTTAGGCTACTGCTGATTCATGGCTATCCCCGCGTTACGTCAGGTCAACCACTAGTATAAAATAAGGGGTAACTTGGACATTTGGTGTATAGGGGTAACTCGAACCAGGGAGTAACATAGGCTTGGTGGCTATGGCCTACTATTCACAGTTTTTGAGTTAGGCTACTTCCGATTCATGGCTATCCCCAAGCTACCCTGGGTCAATCGCTAGTAAGATATAATATAAGAATTGAAATGAAAGTTGTGTGCATCTACATTGGTCCACAATATATGTGTTGTATCATTAATAAAAAGTCATTATTGTGGAAGGAATTGTGTGTGCCGTTAGTACTTCAGAACTTTATTGAAAGAATGGTTTCTTATGGGAGATTATGTGTTTGGAACCCCGAAATTAAGGCCACAGAGATTAAATAAGTGTTTAATGGTGATAAATAGAGAATCTCCTACGAGTCTTTTTTGATATCAAAAGAGACGAGTAGAAGATTTTATTTATCACACAATCCCTTCTTACATGCACAAATAAATAAATATAATTCTTTGCTGTAGATTTCACTTTTACTGAACCTGATTACATTACGGCGTAGTGATACATCATTCTTTGACAGCAATTCAACCATTGCAAAGTCTTTTTTATTGACCCAGTGTTTCCTTCGAAGTCAATTAAATAAAAATAGTTCATTTCTAATAAAAAAAGCAGTTACTTTTAATTAAAAAAATGATCTGTTCTTTGAAAATAAAAAAAGTAGTTCCTTTTTAACTGACCAATCAAATTCATGTAAAGAGATGTCACATTAGATTATGAAATTTATCACACAAGCGATATCTACTGTAGAATGTATAACTATTATTGGGTGATAATAGAAGCTAACTAGTTAGAGTTAGGATTCAACAGCTCTATGCTCGCTAGCACAATTTACCAAAATCCACCATTATTTCAATTCATATCACAATAATTTGAAAGATTTAAATTAAAAATACAATTTGGGATAAAGAACGGTATATTATCAAATTATTGAAATGGAGTTTAACCATGTGTTAGTCCCAAAATGACCTAGTTTGTGTCGAGTTGACGTTAAACCCCATTTCCCCCTCTCTCTCTACATTCAGAATGTGTAATCTGCTTAAGGTTAAGGCCACAGGTCAAGTTACGGTTTAAAAACTCTGTGATCGGTCATTCTCGGTATCCCCAGTGGTTTCATTCCGTTCTACTCCACTAACGCGTAATGAGTGCACAGGGGATACCGAGGATGGTGATAAGTTAACTTATATCATAATCTCTGTAACCAAAATTTGATAGGCCTACTTATAATATTATATTTGAAACATGTATTGTTTTCTTTACTGTGTTTTATTATGTAGATATGTATTTACATTTTTACATCACATCCAGTTTACATATTAAATGACCCATATCACTAGTCTTGAGACAAGGGTAAGCATTTCCTCAATAATCTTCGTCATCCCTTCCATGTAGTTCTTGATTTCTTTATCTGGTTATTGAGACAACTTTCATCCTCCTCTAGATAGTAGATGTAGTTTCAATGAACCATCACGGTCCTACTATGGTGAGGTCTAAAAATTAAGGCCACCTGCAGATTTCGTCAAGGTCATGAGATGTAAGCAGGGCTAGTCCTAACCCTAACCCATAATCCTAGGCAACAATCACATGCCCTAACCTTGTTTACATCTCATGACCTTGACGAATTCTGCAGGTGACCATAATATTTAAAGAGCCCCGGGGAAGAACAATCTACTAAGTCACTTTTTCAACGAACCCCAGTTAATGGCGCCATCCGGTAGCAAATTGTATTAGTTTTCTGTGAAACAATCTATTTCAGGTAAAAACAATCGGGGTCACATCGAACCAGGGCCCTTCCGAAATAGCCTCCCGGACAAATACGTCCATCGTACCCTTTATTTGACCTTAATTTGGCTGAAAAGTGGAAGTCAGTTGTTGTACTGGTAATTATGATTCATATTAAACATCATTTTGAAGTTGTAATTAAACCCACTCGTTGTTCTGTTCGCGTCAAACATTCTCGTCTAAAAGTCTGTTTTGCCTTTTATGCGAAAAGACAAAAATGTGACTTAGATTGTTTTTCCTCTGGACTCTTCCTGGACTCTTTATTTACTATCACTGACAAAAGCATTTCTTTTGTCAATAGGGCCAAATGTATTACAAAAAGTGACCAACAAGGAAAGATTTGTGATAGATATTTATACTCTAAACATCATATCCAGAATTGAAATGATTTCATGACAAATTGAAAAAGTATGGATAATAGCATTATATGGTGTATCTCATTATTCTGGGATAAATTTGAAATAATTATCATAAAGGTTGATGATTATTTTACTGTGGTTGTATCAGGGCCCTGTTTCTCGAAATCTTAACTCAAGATAAAATTTTAGTAGATACTTCAATTTTGATTGGCTAATCACTGAAATCAATCTAATATTACCCAATCAAATTACTAAAATTTGGATTTGATTTTAGTTAAAATTTCGTGAAACAGGCCCCTGAAGTGTAGAATTTTTATGTTGTGCTGTATTTAGATATTATAAAATCTTACTTATTAATTTTAATGCTTTCCTTCTTCACTGCTATGCAATGGTTAATACTTCAATATTAAATTAAAATCTTTGATATTATAATAAATAATACAAAAGTTGTAAATAATGTGCATTATTTATTCACATTAATAAACATGCTTTATAAAATCTTAATTTTGTTTTAAAGTACTTTTGTTTTGGGGATCCCGAAAGACATATTTCTCTTTTAGCTTTATAGCCTTATACATAACCGGGGGCTTGGATAGCCGAATGGTTAGCACGTGTGCACTGTATCATGAGGCCTGTCATTGAGTCAACTGGTGTGGTTTTGAATTCCCGGTTGTAAGTGACAAGTGGTAGGGTTGCCTGTCCAACCTCATGGGTTTTTTAATCCGGGTCCTCCAGTTTCCTCCCACTGCTAAAAACCCCTACGCGCATGCCAGTTATTGAAATAAAAAAATAAACCAGATGTTAGTCCCAAAATGACCTAGTTTGTGTCGAGTGGACGTTAAACCCTATTTCTCTCTCTCCTATACATAACCCAGGTTTTGGGCATTACAAAAAGACTATATGTCATCTTCAGCTTTACAGTATGCAAGCCCGGTCTTGGGTTTTTTTTGTTTGGGGGATCATGAGAGTCTCCTTCAGCGTTACAGCTATACACAATCCAGCTTTTGGGATCATGATAGACTACATCTCTCTTTCAGCTTTACAGCCCTATACACAGCTCAGATTTTAGGGTATTTTTGTTTGGGGAATCAAGAAAAGACTGTGTGTAAAAGAATACTTGACAGTCAAAGAAATAACAATTACAGGTAACATATGTTAGTCTCAAAATGAGACATTTAAACCCCATTCCTTTCAACAAAGATCATCAGGATTTTCTGATGTGGTTCCCACTTGTCAGTGATGTAGGATATGTATAATCGTTGGGATGGGATGAAAAACCAAGGTCCCATGTACACATTGCCTTGCACGTAAAAGAACCCTTGACAGTTGGAATTCGATATAAGAGTAGGCCATTGTGCCACTGTCCGGGTAAAATTCCCTCAAAGCACACTGTGTGCCATATGCTGGTCTTTATTAGCCTAGTCAATAGGATGTTAAACCCCATTTCATTTCATTTCTTTTCGACAGAATCCAATTTATAATTAAAACGATCTGCAAACATTTAATATAAAAGTTTTATTTTATCATTAAATAACAAACAGCACTTATATTCAAATCAGAATCTGTTTTCCTTCATTTATAAACCTATAACATACAATACAATATGATCCCATATTCATACAAAGATTATATCTGTTTATAAATTTAGATTATAGATTAATCTTTATAAAGTATGCCCCTGTGTTGAAAGTTCATCGGGATTTTCCAGCATGGTTCCCCCCTTGTCAGTGGTGCAGGAGGGACAACGTATAGTAATATAAATGGGATGAAAAAAATGAGGTCCTGTGTACATATTTGCGTGCATGTTAAGATCCCTTAGTGTGCTATGAGGGAAATTTTGCCCGGGCAGTGGCATGATGGCCTACTCTGATATCGAATTCCAACTGCCAAGGGATCTTTTATGTTCACGCCAATGTATACAGAGGACCCAAGTTTTCGATCCGATCCGAACGACTAGACAGCAATGCAGGGATCGAACATACGACTTCCAGGTTAGCGACCTAGCATCTTACCTACCCACTTAGCCCCCGTGGCTCCCACACAAGGTTGTTTGATGTTAGAAATGGTTCCACTACTGATGTCTTCGACCTTACTCAAGCCACACAGTTTAACGATACATTTAATTGTAGCTGGTTTGCCGTGCACTTAGTAGAGAGAACACTCTCATAAAGCCTAATAGTTTTTAAGTTAAAATCCTCATCTTTTCACATCTAAATGGCACTGTGATATACATTTATTTGTTTGAAACAGCCATATGAGAAGTATAAGATAATAAAGCGAATGGCCCATAATGTAAAGTGCAACAAAAAAGTGGACGAAAGTGTTGGATTTTTTCACATGGTTGTGTGACATGCACTTATATTAGAGAGAACACTCTCATAAAACCTGATTCTAATAATCTAATAAATCTAATAAATTTAACAACACATCAACAATTCACTCATTCTTACTTTGATATCAACACCCAACCACAGGTCACTCAGTTCACCAAAACTTCTCTCTTTCAATTACAGAGCACAAGGTTTAAATAATCCATCATTTCAGAAGGCAACTCACTCAAACAAAGCAAACATATAATTTAGAACTGTGTCTATTGGCAATCAATTACCACTGTAGTAAAAGATAGAATTTAAAAATGTGCTCACTGGCACAATTCAGACTGTTCAAAATACAGACTTTAGAATTTTGCTTATGACATACTGCCATTAAATCAAAAAATTCAAAAACCATAATAGCAAATTGTTCTAAATCAAGTGATTTGATTATATTTGTAAAAGAAAACCCAATACTTTAAAGACTATAATAACTTTCTAGCAGTGTCCATATTGTGATTGATAATGACAAGAGAGTCATTGTTGAAATATTGCTCCTTATTAAATTCAGCAACTGTAATCCATAAAGTTTTGTGTTTTATTTAATGTGACCGATTATTAAAATATTATTCAAAAATGTTTGTTTGTTAGTTCTGCTATTTCTAAAGATTCCAATAGTTAGGGAGATGTTCATTTACCACTTTCTTTGAATAAACCATAGATTTTTATCTAATCCAATATTCCATTACACAATTTCCAAATTTATTAGAAACGAGGAATTATTATTCTTCCTTGTCATGACAGAAAAGGTCTCAGTATGTTTGTGGTGATGATTTCTATACCTCACACTAGGTATTAATCTGATTACAATACAGATCTATATTTCATTTCGTTTTTTTTATACTTTCGATGGCCTACACTACATGAAGATCTGACAAGTTATAGTGGGAGTTCACGTCAGGGTTCAAATGAGCAGTTTTTGACACTATGACGTTGACATTGATTGATCAATCAGCGTTGACGTTTCTAGTGGTTTACCCACAGTTCCGTGCATAAAAAGGCCTAGAACTCGCCGTAACAGACAGTTTCATTGGCTAATCCATCATCTCATCCAGAACACGGGTAATATAACAACTCTTCCAGATCCTAGTGTAATAAAGACAAGTAAAACGAAATTTTTTACTATAAAAACCAAAACGAAATAGGAACTGTGTTTTAATCAGATTGACTTGGTACACTCTGCAGGTTGTCACCATGTCTTGATACAGATTAGAGCAGTGGTTCTTAACCTTTTTGGGGGTACTGAAACCCGCAAGTTTCATACGTGCATTCACCTAATCCTTCATATTCGAAAAATTAATTATGTAACATAAATTACACCATAAATTACACAACAGTTTTTAGAATTTGCCATAAATATTCATCAATATCCATCAGTTTTCTTAAGGTGAAACACTGAAAATGCCATAAAAGTATTGTGGGAATGCCAAAAGTATTCCTGGTGAACAGAATGGACACGCACACCTCCATCGAACCACTGAGACTGACTGAGTTATAAACCACTGGACTACAGAATCCTAGTCGAAACCTTGATTAGTAAAAATCAGAAACTTTGTATTACATAAACGTTAGAAATACTCTATATTAGATTCGCTGAACCAGACTCACAGTTTACCCCAGTGATTCTCAACCTGTGTGCCGCGATGAAATTGACGGATGAAATTCGAAACACTGCAATAGCTGTTGTTTTTCTCCATTTAGTTTGAGTCATTCTATGTGTCTATGACTAGTCTCTGTGTCTAGAGTTGTATGCGGTCTATGACTTGCCATGTTTTTATTTGGCAAAATTCAAATATTTTTCATATATATTTAGCCAGGTGTGCCGCTATTTTTTTCATGTGTTCCAAGGTGTGCCGTTGGCAAAAAAAAGGTTGAGAACCACTGGTTTATACAGACAGACGCGATTCTGGTTAAGCAACAACACAGACAACCAAGTCGTATGAATTCCCATATCTGCCATTCACTAGCAGTGAAGAACACACCATCTGTCGATTTCTACGAAGTTCTCTTCTCATGAATAAAATCAACCCAGTTACCAAATGCTTTACTTGTAAGCATACCCTGCCTCATTCCTGACACTAATTTATCCAATCATCCGCTAGAACAGATAAACATCTATCACATGGTGCCGTACTACTTTTAGACGTGTAGCGTCGACATCTTTCACAGATATGATCCATAGCGGGAATAATAATTAATTTAAATTTCTCTGGCCATTTCATACCTGTAAGATAAAGAGGTTATATATTTAACATAAGTCAGAAACTTGTCAAATTGTCAAGAGATCTCAAAATGTATAAGATTCATATTGGAACGCATTAATCTCACTGTTGTTTGGTGGATTTTTAATCCCTTGCAAGAGAGAGAGAGAGAGAGAGAGAGAGAGATGCAGATAAATAAAAAGGGTTATGGAGTGTTCACCTTTAACATAAACTGTTGTAAGGCCTTCAACTGATTGAGAGTCTTCTGGTATAATGGTCGGTGGTTTGTCCAATAAACTAGTATGAGACATCTGTAATATTTCATTTAATGATGATGTACTTGATGTCGTCTCTTTTTGGAATTCCTGCAAAATAGGATTAACATAATTAAAATATATTAAATCCTATTCGGATCATTAGATTTCCACCAAAGTTTAGTATAAAATTCTACTGTCTGAACCATGCAAACTAAATCATAATGATTATGTTTTTGGAAATAGAATTATGATACATAAACTTTTAAAATTCTTCTGCAGACCACCATTCTACTATCTGATCCATGCTAAAAGAAATGAAATGAAATGGGGTTTAACATCCTACTGTTCTGCTCCTATGCTGGGCTAATGAAGACGGGCAGACACCATACAGTGTGCTATGAGGGAAATTTTGCCCGGGCAGCGGCATTATCGCCTACTCTTATATCGATTTCCAACTGCCAAGGGATTTTTTACATGCATTCCAATGTATACACGGGACCTCGGTTTTTCGTATCATCCAAAGGACTAGACAGCTGTCCTTGTCAGGCCCTCAGTCCTGCATCACTGACAAGGGGGAACCACGCCGTAAAATCTGGATGAACTTTCTCGGCCAATGCAGGGATCAAACACACGACCTCCAGGCTAGCGAGCCAGCGTCTTACCCACTTAGCCACGTGATCCCCCCCATGCTAAAAGAAATGTCTTTATCCCATATGAATCAACTACTAATGCCAGGTCCCACTGTCATGCGATGCATAATGATAGGATTGTCCCTATTGAGTTCATGATCTGATACGTGCAGATACTTCGGATACATTTCGATACGGCCAACACGATTGCCACGACTAATAGGATCACCACGATTACTCCACGATTTCAATCGTAGCACAAATCGTGATAGTGGGAACCTGGCATTAATTATGGTTATTAAGAACTTTATTATGCATTGCAATATTTAATTGTACAATGGATTTTATTTTACTGGAGATAGATCAAACAACACAAATACCCTAGTCCCTCATTTAAAATTAACCTACCTTTCATATATTTAAAGTAGGGGTCTTTAGCAGTGGGAGGAAACTGGAGGACCCAGAGAAAACCCACGAGGTTAGACAGGCAACCCTACTCCTTGTCACGTACAAGCAGGGAATCGAATCCATGCCAGTTGACTCAATGACAGACCTTATGATGCAACGTGCATGCGCTAACCATTCGACCATCCACCCCCTCCACCTAACCTACCTTTAAAATACCCTAGCCCCCCCATGTAAAATTACCCTACCTTTAATATATCATGTAGTAATTGGCTAGCGTAAATAACAACATCATATTCTAACGTATTCTCAGCAGCTAAAATACTGTTTAAATCTTTCCGTATATCTAAAATACATTCTAGTTTATTCTTTAAATCTGGTTTCTTCCATTCAATATTTAAACTATACCAGCTAGATTTAAACACACTTTCTTCTGAAATAATAAAATTTATCACCCAATAATACATTCTACAGTAGATATCGCTTGTGTGATATATTTCATAATCTACTGCAATATCTCCTTAGGAGATATCGCTTTACATGAATTTGATTGGTCAGTTGAAAAGGAACTACTTTTTTTTTATTTTCAAAGAATAGTTCATTTCTTATTAAAAGCAACTTTTTTTTATTAAAAATGAACTATTCTTATTCAATTGACCTTGATGGAAAAACTGGGTCAATATAAAGGACTTTGCAATGGTTGAATTGCTGTCAAAAAATGATGTATCACTACGCCGTAATGTTCAGTAAAAGTGAAATCTACAGCAAAGAATTATATTTATCTATTTGTGCATGTAAGAAGGGATTGGGTGATAAATAAAATCTCCTACTCGTCTTTTTTGATATCAAAAAATATCAACACTCGTTGATAAAGTAAAAAAAATTCGGCAGAGCCTCGTTTTTTGTTACTTTATTAACTTGTGTTGATATTTTTTGATATCAAAAAAGACTGGTAGGAGATTCTCTATTTATATGCATCGGAAAATGTAATTGTTTTGAAATAACAAAATCTGTATACCGGTACATCTGAAAACTGATATTAAAGGAGGTGAATCTCTATTCTTTGGCTATTCTAGAAATGGACACAAATGGGTCGCAATGCATATAATAATGTAATATGAATGTATATAAACTAATTTACATTCAATCGTTTCTGTTTTTACTGTAATTTCTAATCAGTTATGTTCGGCAAAATATGTGAAGGGTCCAAAAAGAATGGCAGTCTTTGGTGTCTGGTTATTCCAATCTAGACTGTTAGTATTCTCCTGTGGGGTATGTTTAGCCTCATTCATTCAAACAGTATAAATTTTAATACATCTGATATTGAGTTAAACTTTAATTACATCCATTGTCTATTTCATGGCTACTGGCAAGGGACAATGTACACGTATAGTCATTCTCGATGGTATTAAAATCTGAGGTCTCGTGTACACATCAAGAACCCTTGACAGTTGGAATTTGATATAAGAGTAGGCCATAGAACCACTATCAAGGCAAAATTTCCCTTATAGTACACTATGCGGCATATGATTGTCTTTATTTGATTAGTCGGAGCAGAACAGTAGGATGTTAAACCCCATTTCATTTCATGGCTGCCACTTGAGAATTTTGCCAACCAGTGAATTTTGTAAGTAATTTGTGACAATTTTTACTATTATCACAGTTTTTTAATTGATTTTGAAGTGTTTTTACCCATAAAAACTATAAATTTAACTGTTTTAAGGATAAATTATTTGATAAACTAATAAATGAAATGAAATGAAATGAAATAGGGTTAATGTCCTACTGTTCTGCTCCTAACCTGGGCTAATGTAGACGGGCATACGCCATACAGTGTGCTATGAGGGAAATTTTGCCCGGACAGCGGCACTACGGCCTACTCTTATATCGAATTCCAACTGCCAAGGGATCTTTTACGTGCACTAATAAGTGTATTTATACCTTTAGATATATTAGGATAAAACTGATATACTTCTTCTGCTACATGAGGTAATATAGGAGCTAAAGACTTGGTAATCATATCTATCATATGATACTGTACAGTTATACTGGATAATCTTTCTACACTATGTTTTTCTTCACAGTAGCACCTGAAGGAATATTAGCACAGCTATATCAAATGTGTACTATTAAAATTAACTTAAAGGACAATATTGGTGTCAGTCATTATCACATATTTGATAGAACTCGTTAAACACGTTCCAAATATAATTTTAACACAGAGATCATTGCTACGATAGATACGTAATGCAAGTTTCAAAAATCGGAAGTGACAAACGCAAAAGGAAAACACAAGTTATCCCTCTATATAACTGACTGAAGTGACGAGTGATAACAGATATATGGACGAATTTCTGCTCACTAATAGTTCCTTCGAAGACCAAAAGTTGTTGTGTGAGACTGTGAAAGGATATCTGTCAATTCATTAAAAGAATTGACTGTCGCTAGATAAGAGAACAAGAAAGAAAAAAAAAAAAAGTCTGTGCATTCCCATGTTTTTATTAAGTATAGAATGTACAGACTATTTCTATTTTTCTCGTGTTCTCTTATCTTAAAGGAAGTGGTGTATTGTAATAATTAATGGTAAAATGCATCTACATCTAAAATAATGTGATTATATAAATAATGGGGGAGGGGGGATCTATTATTAAATAGTGTAACTGTCTAACTATACCTGTCTTGAATTATACTGGAGTAGAAACTAAAACGGGGGTAGGGGGTGGGGAGGTGGGGGGCCTATTATTAAACAGTTTAACCGTCTAACTATACCTGTCTTTAATTATACTGGAGTAGAAACTAAAATCTGTGTTGATAAATTTCTCCATATCTAATAAAACTTTACTAAAATGATATTCTTCATAATATTTAGTTATCTGAAATAAATACAGTACACTCATATATACCTATCATTGAACGAACTATCTTAGATATGTATTCTATATAGTCAAACCTTTTAACTCTGTGTGAACGACCCTTAGAAACCTTTATTCTAGTCATGTACAACTATCTCAATCTCTGTGGTACTTTTTCATAGAAATACAAACCTTTATTTTAGTTATGTGGTTGACAAGAAGTCCTCTACACTATCTTCAAATGGAGCCACGGCGACTGAATCAGTAGGACATTGGCTCGCTAATCTGGAGGTCCCTTCTTCGATCGAGAATGATATCCCAAACAAGCTGTCTTATTTTATTCCGCTTAGTGCACGTGCATGGGTCTTTCATGTGGGAGGAAACCAGAGTACCCAGAAAAAATTAACGAGGTTGAGAAGGCGCCCCTATCTCCAAGTAACATTTGCTCACACCACCGATCGAAAACAAGCCAGAGGTGACCAGCCAGCTAGAAATCGAAGCTCTAGACAACTAGGCCATCCCAACCCATCATCACCGCTGTCCAGGTGAAATTTACCTCATATGCACATTTTCATTAGCCGGGTTGGTACATTTTTATTGTATCAAATCCAATTAAAATACAGATGTGACGTCATTCTTTGACGTTGGTGTATCCATTGGTGACCATAGTGGTAACCATATTCGAGACTTAGCCTCACTTTTCCATTTTTAAATTAAATTATTAGATGACGAACCGTTCTAATCTAGTTAAAATCTTGAATATCCGATGCCATCAAGAGATGTTTATGGTCTTGTTTTTTTAATTAATGTCTAATTATTTCAAATAATGATACAGGCACTGTGCCAAGCGTACATTAGTTTGTATTTTAAGTTGTTTAATGGTCTCAAGCTTAAGACATTGCGTAATATATTGAAACAACAGCTCGGGACTACACATAATAAACTGGTGAGAGAGAGAGCAATGGGGTTTAACGTCCACTCAACATAAACTAGGTCATTTCGGGACTAACACATGGTTCAATTTTATTTCAATAATTCGCTTGCACGTAGGGGTCTTTTGCAGTGGGAGGAAACCAGAGGACCCGGAGAAAACCCACGAGGTTGGACAGGCGACCCTACTCCTTGCCACATACAACTGGGGATTCGAAACCACGCCACTCAATGACAGACCTTATGATACAACCTGCACGTGCTAACCATTCGGCCATCCAACACCCCATAATAAACTGATATAATTATAATATGTATAACTTACATTTTGACAGTGTATATAAAGTAATTATAATCACGTATGACTTACATTCTGACAGTGTATATAAAGTAAATGTAACATATATTGATCTTGTGGTAATAATGATGAATATTCAACAGCGTCCTTATTTGGATCAAAATCAGAAATATTACCCAATAAAAACCTCAGACATTTTCTAACCTGAAAAAAAAACCCAATAATTATTGCCGCATAAGATACATACTCTTGGTAAATATAATAATTTATACATAAATTTTATTATATAGGGAGAAGCATGCAATTACAAATAACAATACATGACAATTGCACATACGTATATGAGATATAGATAGTGCCATGTGCACTACTTTTTCAAAGGTACTAGACTTTATAGACATGCCCACAATTACATAGGGTAGAATCCACTGACATAATCAGGTTTTCAAAAACTTAAAGTATCCTATAGGGAGTTGAAATCAACTTACATTGAAAATATCTGTTTGAAATTTGTCTAATATGGCTGGACCAATCATAATGTTTGTTTCTAGATGAGATCGAGCTGTCCACCATCTTAACACATCCACACCATAAGACGGTTCCACAGATTTATTCTGTTGTAATTAAAACACAGAAAATAATTTTATTTCATTGGTATACATTTTACATCATAGAGACCTATTATGTTGAAAAAAATAAAAAGTCTCACAAATATGAAAGGAATACTTAAAGATACATTATGTAAGATTTAGATAAAGAGCTGACCATAGTGGTAACCATATTCGAGACTTAGCCTCACTTTTCCATTTTTAAATTAAATTTTTAGATGACGAACCGTTCTAATCTAGTTAAAATCTTGAATATCCCATGCCATCAAGAGATGTTTATGGTCTTGTTTTTTTAATTAATGTCTAATTAATAATTTAAATAACATTTCAGGCCTAAAGAAAGACTTGCAATAGACAGATTTATATCTTGCATAATGTATGTTTAATACTACTATTCAGCATCAATCAGGCTAATGAAGTAGGCATACGCCAGGGCGTGTGCTATGTGGGATACTTTGCCCTGAGATGGCCTAGTCTTATTCTGATTTGAGACTATCAGAAGTTCTTTAACATGCTGACAATGGTATACATAGGACCAATCTCTCAAACAGAGTTGTCTTCCCTTCCAGTTCACACCAACCTCTGCTAATGGCTCATTTGATTATGCACAAAATAACTGATAATACATTTATTACCATTACTATATAAAAATAGAAATGGGGTCATATTTATTGCAAAATAATAAAGTATTTACAAATATACAAAGAACTCGTTCGGCGTAAGATTACGGGGTTAAATAGTCGTAAATACCAACATACAGAGGAACCAGGAAGAAAACGCGTACCTCCTGGTTAGTGAGGCAGAGCCACTGTGACTCACATTTTATCTTAAATAACAAAATGAAAGTCTTCAGTGTGATGAGTATATATTATTGTGGATGCCGAGCTGGTGAAGACTAGTTCGATGAAGTTCACCCCACTAAATTATTCACATGACACCGCTACAAATCTAAGCTAGTCCCTTTTCAGCATATCGTTACATACGCGCGTCACCGCTTTGATAAAACCCTATGATGTGTCCATAAGAAATATGAAACTGCAACATAACAACTATTTATTCACCATCACATTAGTTATTTCACAAAGGTTCACTGGTTACAAGTCATATTCTGATAGATACATACATAGATAATCTTAGCGTTTTGGCTCGTGTTAACTTGCGGTAGAAAACAGTACGCTGTCACCAGCTCACATCACGCACTTTCATCTTTACTTTCATCGCACATGTTCACAACATCCGCTCGGTTGCTAAGCAACTGACTCGATTTTCAAGACACTAGATACTATCCTACAATATGCAATTAGACTCGATTAACTCACATTTAACTTAATATACTGCATGTATGCACAGACACATTATATTGCCATATGTAGATTTTGAACATTACATTCCGGCCCCTATCTTATGATAACAAAGAATAAGATATACAACATTACAATGTTCAAAGATCAAATAAACAAGAAACTCTTAACTAGAGCTAATTCACCAAGCTAACTCACTTCACAAATACTGTTTCACAATTCAGCACTCACACTTCACGACTTTTACAATTATAATCAAACTAAACAAATGAATAAACTGTAATTTACAACAAAATAAACAATAATGTTATAAAGAATGATGTCACAATCTACAAATTCACAAGTTTACTGAAGTTCACAATTAAGTTAAAGATTACATGATTCACATATAAAGAAAAGATACTAGTTGTACAGATTTCACAAATGAAAGTTACCTTTAAACTTAAAGTTATGACATTCTAAAGTATTTAGAAAGTTCACGGGTTCACAGTTCAGCACGATTCACAGTTCATCACGATTCGCATTTCACGCATCTTGCTCTAATAAAAAGCATAATTTAGTAATCGGTCTGACCAATGTAGTGGTCTTTGTCCTTAGCTGTACACTTCTCACTAGACCTTGTTTATTTGGATATACATCAATAATAACACCCATAAGCCACGAACATCTAGGTGCATTATCGTCCACTATCAAAACTACGTCACCTATTTTAAAGTTCCTATTTGGTTTTAGCCACTTTTGTCTTTGTTGCAACATTGGGAGATATTCCCTAGTCCACCGTTTCCAAAATAACTCGGCTAGATATTGTATTTGCCGCCATCTACGTTTTGAGTAAATGTCACGTTCACAGAATACACCTGTAGGAAATGACGTCACAGGTTGCAACAATAATAATGAGTTTGGAGTAATTACTTCCAAATCATTCGGATCTTCAGAGACACGAGTTAAAGGACGACTGTTTATAATCGATTCCACCTCACAAAGAAATGTTTGTAATTGTTCTTCAGTTTGACTGGTTTTCAAATATTGTTCACTCAACAGTGATTGTAATATTTTGCGTATTGTGCGTATTTGTCTCTCCCATACACCACCGTGGTGAGAGGCAGTAGGAGGGTTAAAATGCCACTTAAAGTTAAGTTCTACAGCAAATCTGTTAAGATCAGCTTGATTAAGTTCTTTCACACCATCGCGTAGTTCTTTACTTGCACTTACTAAATTAGTTCCATTGTCAGAAAATATGTCCTTTGGCACACCCCTTCTAGCAATAAACCGACGGATAGCACTAACACAAGAACTAGTATCTAAAGAAGTTGACACCTCTATATGGATGGCACGGGTAGTAAAACATGTAAATATCACTCCATACCGCTTTTTCACCGATCGACCTACTTTAATCTCAAAATGACCAAAGTAGTCGATGCCTACACTGGTAAATGCTTTAAGATCAGCTTGAACACGAGATTTAGGCAAATCAGCCATCTTTTGCTGACCAGCACGAGAATTTATCTTACGGCATATGACACAGTTACGGATTATCTCTTTCACTAAAACACCAGATCTTATGATCCAGAATTTCTGACGTATCTCAGCAGTCGTATGATTACGACCCTGGTGACCTACTTTATGATGAAAGTATTTAACAATTAAGATCGACACATGATTATTCTTTGGGAGAATAATTTGATGTTTAGCATCACTAGGAATGTCAGCATTTCTTAATCTGCCACCGACACAGATTAGACCATTTAAAAACACAGGATCCAAATTTGACAAAGCACTATTGGACTTAACAGAATTATTTTTGTCACCAGAGATTATTTTATAATCTTCAGAAAAAACAGATTTCTGAATACACTGAATGATAGATTTTTCAGCACTTGATACTTCATCCACGGTCAAGATTCCATTCCGTAAACTGTCAGGAATTTCGAGTTTTTGGCTTTTCAATTTTAAAATAGCCTTTAGTCTTAACCACCACGATATACCGCGTTTAAGACGATTCCAGTTCGAATAATGATTAAATAACTTGTTTACATCGTCTTGATTTACCTTGATACACCCGACGTTTATTTCACTCACAGTTTCATTGTCAAGTTTTTCACTAAATACTGGCATAGGCGGCCATTTCTCAGATGACTCATACAGAAAACCTGGACCCGTTATCCAGTTGACAGATTTAAGGGCATCTGCACTAAGACCTCGAGAGGCATGATCAGCGGGGTTCTGCTTAGACGGAACATACCTCCATTGATCAATTTCCGATCCATCACGTATTACTGCTAAGCGATTAGACACGAACACCTGATAACGCGCTTTCTCATTCGCGATATACTTCAGTACCGTCTGGCTGTCTGTCCAGAAGTACACTTGGTTCACTGGTATAGTCAATTCCGTATTCAACATATTGTTAATTCTTACAACTGACGTAGCAGCTGATAATTCCAACTTTACAATTGTGTGCGGTTTAATAGGCGCAACACGTGATCTCCCTATCACAAATGACACATGTACTTCACCACGGTCACTTTCAAATCTTACATAAGTAACCATTGCGTATGCATTTTGCGATGAATCTGCGAAATGATGCAATTGTGTATTCACAATATTACCAAAAGACTTCGGCTTTAAACAGCGATCAATTGACACGTTTTCTAAGTTCGGTAAATCATTTACCCAGTTTCTCCAATCGCGTTCATGTTTTTCTGGTATTTCTTGATCCCAACCAAGTTTTTCGCGACATAAGTCTTGAATGATTAACTTAGCACGGAGAACGAACGGAGAAGCGAACCCAAACGGGTCGTACACAGAACTCATAACCGATAAAATGTTACGACGAGTTGCTTTTGGATTCATAGAGCTCACACTAAATTCAATTTTATCGTCTTCGACACCCCATTTCACACCCAATGCACGTTGCACTGGTAAATTGTCATTGATATTGTCGAAATCCAAGTTTTTGGTTTCATCAACTCTATCAGATGCCGGGATAGTTTTCATCAAATTGCGACTGTTACTGACCCATTTTGTCAAATTAAAACCACCGGATCTTAATACAGTACGAATATCTTTCACTAAGGAAATGGCTTCAGGTTCACTCGGCAACGATTTTAAAAAGTCATCCACGTAAAAATCATTGTTGATTGAGTCAATGACACTTTGATCTACTTTACCTATATTGTCGCTTGCTACACGTTTGAGAGCGAAATTGGAACAGCTCGGAGAACTGACAGCTCCAAATAAATGGACTAACATACGATATTCAGTTAATGCTTGATTTATGTCCCCTTTTGGCCACCATAAAAATCTCATAAAGTCTACATCAGATTTACTAACTCTGACTTGATAAAACATGCTCTCTATATCGCTCATGACAGCAAAATAGTCTTGTCGCCATCTTAAAAGCACACCGAGTAATTTATTTGTCAAGTCAGGGCCTGACAATAATTGTTCATTGAGAGATGTATTATCATACATCAAAGGGCAGTTAAATACCACTCTCACCTTATTGGGTTTTCTTGGATGCACAACATTATGATGATTTAAATACCATACTTTACCATCTAGTTTCACCAATTCACCTTTTGGCACTTTTTCGGCATAGTTTTTCGATTCTAAATTATTCATGAAATCGGTATATTGTTTATGAAGAAATTCATTGACACTTAATCTCTTTCTCAGTTTATAAGCGAACACTTCGGCTTGAAGCCTGTTATTTGGCATCACAACATCACGATTTCTTAAAGGCAGATTGGTTTCATAATGTCCATCTTTTAATTTTATAGAATTGTCCATAATATTGATGAACCGTTTATCTTCTACTGACATGAATTGTCGGTCATCACATAGCCTTTCACCGAATTCGAGATTAAAGTACCATTTAACTTGTAGCTCTAAATTATGGTCAACATGACAATAATTAACACTAATATGATTTTCAAATTTCCCGTTAAGACCGTAGAACAACCAACCCAAAGGTGATCTTACAGCATACGGTTCACCGAGGTTGCCTGTACGAATCTCGAGTGGCTGTGTCGCCAATGGAAAGTTCACACCAATCATCACTGTCACTTTGGGTATACAGTTACCACCCAAATCAGGTAATTTAATGTCCTTAAAATGTTCCCATTTATTGATATCGGACTGTTGAGGTGCATCCTTCATAGTAACTGGAATTTCATCCCTTATGTACGCTGGAGGCAAATCATAAAATGCTTTACCACAAACATCACTAACTTGTACAAGATCAGTCACTATACTAGTGTTTATAGTCTCTTCCAAATTAATGGTTTTTAACACAACTTGAGTTTGTTTACATCTGAGTTTCAGATGATATGAAATCTCATTGTTAAAAAATAACACACCCGAGCCATTATCTACGAAGGCATAGGTTGAAACTATATCGTCATTCACTTTTGGTTTTAGGCAGATAGGAACAATTGCCATTAAAGGGTTTCCACCCATAATTTCAGCTTTAACACAACCTGAAGTTATTTTGTAGTTCGTATTATCAATACTTTTCTTGACACTGGTTTCACTATTATTATTAAAGTTTTTCCTGTCCCTTGCAGGATCATGCATAACAGTTTGGTGAGTTCTCGTACACTTGTCACATTTTGACCATTCAGGATTTGGACATGTATCCTTCATATGACCAGGATTTAGGCATGCATAACACAAACCAAGTTTTCTTACTGACATATCACGATCAGATTGAGTGATTCCAGCAAATCGTCTACACTGCAATAAAGAATGATACGTTTGCTGTCCACAATAAAGGCATGGCGACTTTGCTGCTAGATTTTCACGTTTCGTACCATGTTGTACCACAGGTTGAATGTTTGTTGCGTTCACTCTCCTTTGTGGGATTTTTGGTTGAACGCTGAATGACTGATAATTTGATCTCTGTTGGTAACCCAATCCACTAACTCTCGGATCGTTCTCGTTCCTTGATAAAACACCCACAAAGTTTTCAAAGTCAATTAAAGTAGGAGAACGATTCTCCTTTTCACGGAGTCGACCAACTTCCGAAATCCACTTTTGTTGTATGGCTATAGGCAGTTTACTACACAATGTCTTAATAAATTCAAAACCATCAAGAAAGTTCATGTCTTTATTATTTTGTTTTGAATTAACACAATTGGTTAAGAATATTGAAAACTTTCTTAACCCCACTTTATCACCATTCTGAATTTTCGACCAATGTTCAGCTTTTGATGCAAATGCAGAGGCTATGAGTTGCGAATTACCATAGTCCCTGTCTAACAGTCTTCTTGCTTCACGATACGCATCAACAGGCGGTTCTATCAAAGGGCAGAATTTGATCAGTTCGTGTGCTTCACCCTTTGTGTATTTTAACATAAATTCTAAAAGTCTGGCAGGGTCACTAGTGTTCCGTTCAATAATAAATTGAAAATTCTTCACAAATGTTTGATAAGATAACACATCAGTTCCATCAAAATAATGTAATTCCTGACTAGGAAGTACTTGGTCCCTCTGATTTTCAACAAGTTTAGCCAATATATCGGATATGTCAACATTATTCACAGCCGTTTTAGGGCAAATATCAGAACTCACAGGGATTTCCGGTTCAATATTCACACAACTTTCAGGTTCAGTCACATGATTAGAAACACTGCTGGGAGAATGTTCAGGAATTATAGGTTTTTGTTTCAATGTTAGTTCTGAATCTGACACTCTACTTTTATTTTCTAACACTGTTGCTATTTCTGTTGCTGCTTTAAGTTGTGCTCGCAGACGTATTTCTTTTTGTTTTCTGTTGATTTCTTCCATGGCTCGTTGCATTTCAAGTTTTTGTTTTTCTAGTTGATTGGACTCTTCCAAAGCAAACAATTCCTCTTTTAGTTTAATTGCACGCATTTTGGCTCTAGAGGCTGAAGAAATTTTACTCCCTTTACTACTAATATTCGAGATACTATCTTCGGGATTCACAGTGGGTTTATCATCAACCATAGACATAGTACCGGCCCCATGTGGCGCACGTGCTGCTGTCACTTGTTCGTCATGAATACCGGCCCCGTGCAGGCCAGTCGGCCTGTCGTCATTCTCAGTTACTTCAATGTCATTTTGTATCACATCATCGGAAATCAATCCAGGATCCGAGACAGTTTCACGACTAGAATTTGTACTTACAATTTCTATGTGTGGCTCCAAGACAGGCGGAGGAGGGGTTATGTTTCCCGCTTCACGTTTCTTCATTCCAGACATCAGAAAAACACAAATTAATGTCACAAAAGTGAAAGTCGCACAACACGATGTTTTCATCGAAATGTCAATTTCAGATGTTTTCTACTTGATTATGTGGATGCCGAGCTGGTGAAGACTAGTTCGATGAAGTTCACCCCACTAAATTATTCACATGACACCGCTACAAATCTAAGCTAGTCCCTTTTCAGCATATCGTTACATACGCGCGTCACCGCTTTGATAAAACCCTATGATGTGTCCATAAGAAATATGAAACTGCAACATAACAACTATTTATTCACCATCACATTAGTTATTTCACAAAGGTTCACTGGTTACAAGTCATATTCTGATAGATACATACATAGATAATCTTAGCGTTTTGGCTCGTGTTAACTTGCGGTAGAAAACAGTACGCTGTCACCAGCTCACATCACGCACTTTCATCTTTACTTTCATCGCACATGTTCACAACATCCGCTCGGTTGCTAAGCAACTGACTCGATTTTCAAGACACTAGATACTATCCTACAATATGCAATTAGACTCGATTAACTCACATTTAACTTAATATACTGCATGTATGCACAGACACATTATATTGCCATATGTAGATTTTGAACATTACAATTATTACCTGTGACATCTATTGATAGGTATAGACGATAAAATCTTCTACATACCTTACCACCATGTATAACTGTTGATGGATCTACAACATTTCCAACAGATTTCGACATTTTCTTTCCTTTTTCATCAGTCGTAAAACCATGAACTATTAATTGTCTAGAAAAGATAAAAGTTATGGCTATATTGAATTACTTACTTTGTACAGAACAAATAATACAAGCTTGATTTAAATGGACAGATTCCTGTAAAATTCAAACTATAGTGATGTAGTTAACGGGTTAATATTATTGTTTTTATTGTAGCTAGGACCTGGTGTAGTTAGTGAGTTAGTTAAAGGGTTAATATTGTTTTATTGTAGCTAGCCTGATGTAGTTATATGGTTTGATAGTGGTACTTCCTGGGCTACAGTTCTTGGCTGACAGGGAAAAGGTCCAATTTGTTTATGATGCACACTTTACTAGAAACTACAATAATTGATAATAAAAATCTGTAAAATACACACATATAAAAGTGGGAGATCTCCTGAACTCAAGAAAAACAAAATCTGTTGGCAAGAGGTATTAAATGGAATAGCGTTTCGGTCTAGTCAAGCTTCATCAGATACATAAATTCTGTTTTTCTTAAGTCTGGGGTAATCTTTCACTCTTATGTTCTACAGTTTTTCCTGATTCGCCCAGGCTTCAATAGATACCCAAGAAAATAGATTCTATACAGAATTCTTCCACCTGCCAAACTACACAGTTTTTTGTAGTTTTTCACCAGCATGTGAAACTTACTTGTAAGGTGGTTTATTATTTACAGTATGTGTAATATACAGCATCTGTAATATACAGCATGTATAATATACAGCGTGTATAATATACAGCATGTGTAATATACAGTATGTGTAATATACAGCATGTATATTAAAACTTACTTGTAAGGTGGCTTATTATTTACAGCAATACTAGTTAACAATGATGTCTGAAACCATCCACCAAACTGATCTAAACCTTCTAAATATACATCAGCTACATTATCTACATCTATAAATATAACAATTAATCTATATACATCAGCTATAATATCTATAAATATAACAATTAATTTATATACATCAGCTACTTTTATCTATAAATATAACAATTAATTTATATACATCAGCTACATTTATCTATAAATATAACAATTACTTTATTAAATACAACAAATGACAAGCATAGCTCTTTTGGAAATGAAATGTGGTTTAACATCCTACTTTTCTGCACCAACTGGTATAAAGAAGATAGCCATGCGCCATGCAGTGTACCATAAGGGACATTTTACCCAGACAGTGGAGCTACTACCTTGTCTTTATTTAATTCTAACTAAGGTTATATTCATGTGTACGCCAACATGTACACAGGATCTTGGTTTTCCATCCCATTCAAACAATTAGACACTGATCCTTACCAGTTCCTCCGTTCAGCACCACTGGCAAGAGGGAATCACATTCGAAAATACAAGGAGCATAGAGCCTTACATCTTGCCCAGCCTTACAATCTGTATTATCGAAAATCCAGTAGACGTGGTACAAGGGTTAATCAGCGAACTGGATGTATGAGATGTGTTGTTGACGTTTGGGAAAGTAGGACGAGGGGAAATGTGTAGGGAGTGAAGTGCTGTAAAGGGATAGTTAGATGTATTATGAATGGTTAGAGTGGCTGTGGTGTTACGGTGAAATACTATGCTGCCACCGTAACACCACAGCTTTATGATTTGTTAGACAGGAGTGATGTAATGGGTGTCAACAACTGGGTATGCTGGTACCGTCGCAACGTAGCCATGAAATATATATTGTGGGGGGGAAGGGCGGAAACGGAAAAATATACAATGTTGACAGTATGTGCCAGACATGAGGCTGCGCAGACCGAGCGGCAGCTCGATAGGGAGTGTGTGCGAGGGTCACCCTCACAAAAAATTTTTTTTTTAAATTTCAGGTTTCTGTAAGCAGTGAAAACACTATTTTGGCATTGTTTGCGGGGTTAAACCTAAAAATCACATTAATACACCTATTGCACGATATTGTGAAACTAGCTGACGAAGACAGCTCGGGCGGCGATTGTTCGACTCGGGGCTGCTCTGTCAGTATCTAACAAACGCATTTAGTTCGCGTACAACTTTTAAAAACCGAATGTCAGTATGGTATTTCTCACATAATTGGTTATCGCAAAAACAGAGTAAACTGAAAGCGAGTAATCTCGACTCAAACCTATAGTCTATAGCCTACTTACTACACTCGTCTTCCTATATTATTGTTTGTGATAAGCCTGCGCCGCAAAAAGAGGTCTCGCCTTTTATTATTAGTATAATGACTTCCTCATGTGCGGCAGGTTAGTTTGCTTCTAAAAACACTGTTTTCCGTTCCAAAAAATACAAAAGTAATTTTCTACCAGATGACCATGGTTCTTTTCACCGAGACTAGATAATTTCTCTCGGTGTAAGGATATAGCTATGGATAAGTTCATACAAGGTCAATAAATCCGCGGTCACTTCGGGTCACACTGTTGAGAAAATAAACCGATGGGTTTGTTTAGTAGCAAATCGAGCGTGAATCAACTGAGTTTGTACTGAAAAATTTTTGAGTGATATGTATGAACTGTCTTCACACATTCGGTTTATAATTAGCGATACACAGGTACAGTGGCAAGTGTTGTACTTCACAGACTGTTTACCTCCGAACTACCTCCGCACGAAATCCCCGATTTGGGTACTTGTTAAAAGAAAAAGAAATAGTACCTGTGCGCATGCCAGTAAAAAAAAAACTAAGAGTTTGTGCATAAAAATGCCCGAACGTACCAGGCGCCAGGTCATCCAGATATGTGAAGCTGTTTATAGTCTATAGCTTTACCTTTTAGAACTGTAGCCCAGGAAGTACCACTATCAAACCATATATCTAATATATCTTCCCCTTTCACTAACTCATTAACTACATCAGGCCCTAGCTACAAATAAAAACAATATTAACCCTTTAACTACATCACTAACTACATCAGGCCCTAGCTACAAATAAAAACAATATCAACCCTTAAATAATAATCCTTTAAATACTCAATGATCAGGTCCTAGCTACAATAAAAAAATATTTTAACCCTTTAACTACATCACTAACTAAATCTGGCCCTAGCTACAATAAAAACAATAATATTAACCTTTTAATGCTTGGTACATGTAAATATTGACTATCTTGGTTCTCTGAAAGAATTAGAGGAAAGTGATGTGTGGTGACCCACAGAAAACCCACAAGGTTAGACAGGTGACTCTATAACTTGCAATGTAGAAGCCTTTGATTGAAATCCCACTACTTGCCTCAATGACAAGTAACTCGGCTACCCAACTCCCCCCATAAATTACAGACCTTATAAATATGATAGAAGGTAGAAAGGTTTTTCCATCTATTTGTGGAGATCATATGTGATTCAGGGGATTTTATCGCGATAAACTGAACCAGAAAAGGGTGTTTAAGAATATTGTAGTATTTTGGACGAACCTGTTCTAACAGAGAATGTGGTAATAATTCTGTAACAGGCCAACTCCACCAAATATCACTACCATGATTCCTGATTAAACCACAGATATGTTCTATACTTTCTCTGTAATAAAACACATGATTCCATAGAAAACATGATAGAAAGCCAATATAATTAAAGGCATAACACTAGAGCAGTGGTTCCCAGAGTTTTAGGGGGAATACCCCACCTCTTCACCTCAAAATATTTGTGGTCCCCTTGGTCATTTTTTAGTTTACAGATTACACCATCATTAAAGCAAGACAAACAAGAATTTCAATGCAAAGCTAATAGACGCCTTTCTGCCAACCATCATTAAAATTTGTTTTTTTACTGCTGTTGAGCGGGGGATTTTTAAATATCCATTTATGTCAACTCTCTCTGTTGGCATCATCATTTGATCCAGAAGCTACACCGATCTGCTGGCCTGTCCAGCCTCTCCTACTCTTTTAAGGAAGTGTTGCCGTTCCCCCTCTCATTTCCTGTTAAAATAATAATTATGGACAACAATTACTTGCCACTTTAATATTGCCACATTTCAACAATTAGTAATCTCCTGTCATTATCAAGCACAAGGTAAGCATAAAGATATCTTCAATTGTGTATGAAATATGCTCCGAAAAACAAAACAGAGGGGTCTGATGGAGCCCAATTCATTACCCATCCCTTAAAATCATGCAAGATAAAAAAATAAGAATTACTTTGTTATCACTGGATCTCCCGTTTGTTTGTTGTAAAATACAGGAAATGGAACACCCCACACTCGTTGTCGAGATATACACCAATATGGCCGTGTCTGTAGCTGATTAATCATTCCATTTTCCGACGTTTTCGGAATAATTTCCACATCTTTTAAACATTCCTGAAATATGTGTTAAACCCGCTAATCGTCATTTGAAAATTTGAGACAATATCTAATTTTTCACGGATTAATCCATGCTTCAGATTTAATTCAGATAATAAAACAAAAATAAATGAAATGAAATGAGATGTGGTTTAACGTCCTACTGTTCTGCTCTGAGTGGGCTAATGAAGACGGGCATATGCAATACAGTGTACTATGAGGGAAATTTTGTATGGACAGTGGCACTACGACCTACTCTTATATCAAATTACAACTGCCAAGGGATCTTTTGCATGCATGCCAATGCATACAAGGGACTTTGGTTTTCCGTCCCATCAGAATGACTAGACAGCTGTCCTTGCCAGGTCCTCCGTCCTGCACCACTGACAAGGGGAAACCACGTCGGAAAATTCTGATGAACTTTCTCGGCCAATGCAGGGGAAAAAAAAAACAATTATCAATGGTATATACTATCCTGGCTTGGATTTAATCAGATTAAAATGAAGCCTATCAAAAGATTCTTTCCAACAGTTGATGATGGCACTGGCCTTGTTTATATTTGGATGATTCTGAATTTTGTGAAATTTTTAGTTCATCATATCTATGTAAATACAGAATGAAATTAATCAGTCAGAATATTCAATGATGAAACACATTCGTCTGTGTTTTTTGGAAGCAAACCTGTCAATTATCCCATCAATGTCACAAACCAATATCGCCCCCACCCCCAGATCTCTCTATCTGGCACTGCCACTACAGCAGTACAATCAAAAAATTTATTTTCAATATCTAGTCATAGGCGTACGGGCTCAATGAATGTTAGGGGACCAATATAGCCTACTCTTACTAGAATCCCAAACAATCAATCGATCGTCGTGGGGTGTGGGGGCCTCAGGCTCCCCGAGAAAATTTTGAAAATTTAACCGCTGCATATGTGTTTTTCTGTTATTCTAGCCCATGAGTAAAGCAACTTCAAAGTTTCCAATCGTTTTGTAACCGAAATCCTACTCTATGCCGACTTGAATTCCAACCATCTAATCGGACTGTTGCAGTTGCATTCACAAATAATAATCGATGGCCCGAAAAATGTCACACAAAGTAGAGTGGCTCCAGACAAAATGTTTTAATCCATAGTCAATTCAGTACAGATTCGTTGTATTAGTGTTTTATTTTGCCAACTAGATGAAAAAATAATTTTTGTTTTCACTTTACTTGTCTGCCCAAAAAGTCAGATTGCCCGAAAGTTAGGGGGGGTCTGCCCCCGTACGCCTATGCATCTAGTTAAGTCAAAACTTACAAGAGCTCTTTTTTTGACTATATTAGTGTTGATAAACCATTGTTTACTGGCTCTGGTTATAACTGGTAATTTAGTCCGCCAATCATACGGATAACTGTGGACATAATCCTCTACATGGAGTAGATTATCCTTTAATAAATCAATCACTGAAAATAGACAACTTACAGCTTTTACTGGCTATCAGTTAAAAGATGTATATGCATTGAAGATTTTGCTTTGTGAAAATATGACTTTTTTACTAGTTTTGTTGATATATTTAAAGGAATAGATAATAAGATCAATATATACTTTCTCGCAAGCATGCTGTCCCTGGCCTGCCCTTAGGAGCTGAAGTCACAGGGATTGTTCAACCTTGGGAACATATCTATTTATTTTGAAAGTAATCTAGTGTGTCAAGAAAATATCTAAAGGTGGTCCTTTGGTTGAAATATATCAATAAATTTAGAAGTCCAAAATACATAAAAATAAAGTTTCATCCTGACAACAAATAGCAATAATTTGCACAGGACTTGACAGTCCCACGAAGACTCACGTAAAAGAATGATCAAACCTCATATTAACAGGTGCTCTACAAATAACTATATAATAATCACCTGTTTGATCAGCATCTATACCAATAGTTTTACCATATAAATTATCACCTGCTGATTTCATATATCTACCATCTTCATCTACTTTACATTCCTACAATTATAGATATGTGATATAATTACTGACTTTACATTCCTACAATTATAGATATGTGATATAATTACTGACTTTACATTCCTACAATTATAGACATGTGATAGAATTACTGACATTACACTCCTACAATTATAGATATGTGATATAATTACTGACTTTACACTCCTACAATTGTAAACATCTTATTCAAGAAAACTTAAAAGAAATATTTTAAGAATCCAGCCATTTCCATTGATCAAGGGTTAAATTTTGAACAATGATTTTAGTGCTCATCCAATGAAAAATCAGCAATTTTAAATTATTTTAGGAATAAGGATCCTGGCACCCTAAGTGAATTAATGAAACAATGTTATGATAGTACAGAGCAGACAGGACCTAGTTCTATCTTAAGAAATGAAATGAAATGGGGTTTAAGATCCTACCGTTCTGCACCAACTGGGCTAATGAAGATAGGCATACGCCATACAGTGTACTATGAGGGAAATCTTGCCTGGACAGTGGCACTACAGCCTACTCTTATATCGAATTTTAACTGTCAAGGGATCTTTTATGTACACACCAATGTGTACACAAGACTTGGTTTTTGTCTTATATGGTGTCCCTTGCCAGACCCTCTGTCCTGCACCACTGACAAGGGGGAACCCTGCCAGAAAATCCTGATGAACTTTCTTGATCAACACAGGGATTGAACACAGGACCTCTAGGTTAGCGAGTCAACGTCTTACTCACTGAGCCACCATAGCTCCCTTCTATCTTTAAGATTATAAAATTTGTACATACCACAGGAAGTTTGTGCTTTACGGCAATCTGAAAATCATCATGACCATGAGCAGGTGCGGTGTGAACCAATCCAGTTCCTTTACCAGATGTCACATGATCAGCTGATATAAAACTCAGATTCTGATTGGTTAATGGTTGTTTGTACATGATACCTTTCAAATCTTTGCCTGAGAATTGAAATTAAAATTTGACTTTTAATTAAAATTCATGGCAATACAGGGATGGGGGCGCCGAGTGGTTTAGATCATATGATATACACTGAATCAACTGGTTTGTTTTTTTATGCTAGGCTTGTATGTTACAAGAATTATGGCTGCTTGCCTAAACCTGCAGGTTTTTTTGGTGTAGTCTGGGTTCTTCCAGCTATGAAGGTCACCTTGCGCGCAAAATGAACTAGCTGGTGTTGAGTGAACATTAAAGTCATTCTCCCTTATTTTCCCTTCATTCCCCGCTCACTCTCACAGAGGGAGCGACAAATCATGATATCAATTTGATTTAAAAGATCCATCAATCAATTCTGGACATACTGGGCCACATTAGTCTTATTTGCAGACATCAGAAAACTTGAAAGGGGGCTTTCAAAACATTGAACGGTTCAGATTTTTATCTTGTATTCAAGAAGTAATCTTTACAATTATTAAGATGTCTGTATCAATTTATTAAACATACCATCTACAACAGCTAATGATGTCAGTGATTGATCGAGGATGCTTCTTAGTTTTTCACTGAATGCAGCCTCACATAAATAAACTTCACCATTTACAACATGTTCCATGAGTTCATATCTAAAATAAAAATATTTCAAAAACTTGCTGTGAATTGACTTTTAATTTGTCTCCCGAAAAATCAAGAATGCATGCAACAAATTCATTAAGAAATAGAAATCCCAACACACCATGATTGTGACAAATAGCTCATGACGGGATGCGAGTGTGCAACCTTCAATGTGGATGACATAATCACTGTCCAGTTAGCCATATGGATGCCCTACTAGTTAAATACCAATAAACAATATTAACCGGCTTCATTCACAAACACATATATACAAATTGCTATAATTCAATCCACAGACAACATACCTTGTCTTTTTGATAGTTGGTGCTAAACAAAAATGAAATGAAATGAAATGGGGTTTAACGTCCTACTGTTCTGCTCCTACTGGGCTATTGAAGATGGGCTATCATAAAGCTTTTCCGAGCAGAAATGAAACCTCCTAGCTCTGACTTGGCTAATGAATACGAGCATACGCCATGCAGTGTGCTATGAGGGAAATTTTGCCCGGACAGTGGTGCTACGGCCTACTCTTACATCGAATTCCAACTGCCAAGTGAAGTTAATCACTTCCACAAATGTGATATTCAAGTTTAACACTCACCAACTACAAGACCAAGGGTGTAGTCTGTAGACAGCCGATGGGTCATTATAAACAACCAAGGCTGACTTTTGTCTTGTACCAAAATCACCCTCATTAAACATTCCTGAATTTAACCCCATGAATAGTGAGAAATAGGGATTAAGCACTGCATTGCATGTGCCGATTGAATCAGAAAATATCTCAAGCAACTATGACAGCTGATACACCCACATTCTGTATCACCAGATTGTAATTCTTGACTAATCATTAATAATTTATTTTCTGTGAAGTTTTAAAAATAATTGATGTTTATTTTCTTACTTGATGTTATGATTATAACAGACAGCTTGATTAAATGGTAACGTCCATGGTGTTGTAGTCCATATCACAGCATATACAGGTTTATCTATAAATAAAACATTAAAGTACAATGAATGATCCCTGGAAGTTAAATATGGTTTATAATCTTACATTTCTGTACTAACCAAGCAAATGAAGATGTGCATTATAGTACAATGAATGATCCCTGGAAATTATAATAAAAAAAAAAAAAAAAAAAAGTATTGTTTAATGTCTTACTTTTCTGTACCAATCAGGCAAATTTTTCCTTGAGAGTAGTGCTATGACCTTCTATTATAACAATAATAATTGTCTATCTATATAGCGCAATATCCATGCATGAGCATTCTCAACGCACAGAGGGAGGGGGGTGGGCGGTGGTCTAGTGATTTAATGTGTACGTGACAAGGAGTAGGGTCACCTGTCCACTCTCGTGTGTTTTCTCCAGGTCCTCCAGTTTCCTCCCACTGCTAAAGACCCCTACGTGAAAGGGAATTATTGAAATAAAATTGAATTATATGTTAGTTCCAAAATGACCTAGTTTGTGTCCCGTGGCTGTTAATCTCTCTGTCCCTCCCTCTCCCTTTCCCTCTCTATCCAAAAAAGTTTTAATTCTGGATCTAATTAACGTGCTACCAATGGTAAACACAGGTCAACATTTACGATAGCAAGGGTAATAACTCTGTAAACAGATTTAGATGACCCACAATCCTAAGTTTTGAGAAGGTGCAATTTCAGGGATCCAAAATGACCCAAACAACTTCAAAGAAAAATCTCAAAAACTATAAACCTAACCTGGACCCTAACCATAACCAGGTACATGTAGCTCCTATTAGCACCAGATAGCACCTCTGTGACCTTTACCCTCTGTGCACCCTTCACATACCTACCTGTAATAGTTCTGATTGTATCTGGTATCTCTGATAACAAAAACTTGACATAAACAGATTTACTGACATGTTGGTTATTATATTCTAATTCAGACTCGGCTAAAGCTGTCCTGTAATAAAATACATAAATATATATATTACATTCTGATAACTTATTCAAAATAGATAATGAACAGTCACTCCTTTTTTCCCCCATCGTGCTAGCGTCATACGCAGTATAATCACTGCCCACATTCTCTTTTCTCCTCTATTTCTTCTTTCAAGGCCATTCAAATAATAAACATAGACATGGATTGTCAATCCAATTGATCTGACTAGCTGCTAAGTTAGCTTTCTTAACCCTATAATCACTGTCCATAAATTCAGCAGAGAGAGAGAGAGAGCAATGGAGTTTAACGTCCACTCGACACAAACTAGGTCAGTTCGGGACTAACATATGGTTTAATTTTATTTCACTAATTCGCTTGCGCATAGGGGTCTTTAGCAGTGGGAGGAAACCGGAAGACCCGGAGAAAACCCACAAGGTTGGACAGGCGACCCTACTCCTTGTCACGTACAACCGAAATTCAGCAGAGAAACTTTTAAAAAATAATGAACTCTCAAGCTGTAGATAATGTAGAAATTGTGAATGATGATGGAAGCAGGTATCAACGTATAATATACACATTAACGGTTGAAATATAAACTAGAACTAAGATTTAAATCTATATTTTGATCACAATGTTAAAGATACATTATGGAAGATCAGATACAGAGCTGGCAGTTCTCACTAAAGTAGTTAAAAACTAGAAAATATAAAGGGAATATGCTGAAAATTTCAGTCAAATTTCTCCACTTTAAACCAAAATATTTAGGCCTAGCCTCGGACATCATTACTAAAGTCAGTACAATAAAAAACATAGTCTTGATTATCCATTTTTTGATTTAATCAACAATGAGTGATGAGCAGCAGATAAGATTTAAATCCAGTGAAAATCCAACACATAAGATGGCATCGAGAGTTAATTAAGGTCTTTTCATGTTAATAAATGTCTAATTAATAGTTTATATAATATTTCAGACCTAAAGAAAGAGCTGCGATAGGGAGATTTAGCTCTTGCATAATACTTTATCAATATATAACATACCTAGATGACGGAGACCAGTAGACTGGCATATAATCTCGATACACAAATCCCTGAAAACAACAAAAGATCAAGACTACAAATGGGATAAGGGTGTCTTTGTAAAGGATTGGTTGCCAAGCAACAAACTATACATCCACAACAGCAAAGTTATCCAAGCAGTCCATAATGGTTGTCACATTGCGAATCTTTAGGTAATTAAAAAGCAACAAATCTATACAGTATAATATTACTGATGATTTGACAAGATTCTATGACATAATCAAGGGAAATAATTCTTCAAGTTATTATAAGAAATTGCTGATATTTAATGGACTTTTTTGTTTCACTAATGTAAACAAAATATATAAATCGTAGAAGGATCATATAGTAACTACAATCTGTAGAGTTTCCACATGAAATTCTAGACGACGGACAACCCTTTGAAAATAAAGTTATAATTTACTATTAACTGATGTACCAGTAATTATCTTGTATAAATTTTTACCTTATCAAACATTTTATAGAGAACTTCTAGTTGAGTTGCCTGATATTCAGGATCTAAAGTTACGTAACATTTTTCCCAGTCGGCCATGATGCCCCATTGTTTAAATGATTCTTTCTGGGTTTGAATCACTTTAACAGCAAAATCCTTGGCTTTAAAATTCAAAAAGAAATACAAAATAAAAATCTCACATCTTATAAAATTTACATATATGTCTGGTTTCAAATTGTCCTACACTTTCAATTTAAGTCATTTGCATTTTGCAGAAAATAACAAATTTTTCCTGACTTAATCTACGATAAAAAAAATAAAAATAGGAAGGGTAATTAATCCCCTGATTCAATGGTATACAAAAAAGGCATATGAAAAGAGTTCAGTGAAGATTACTGGTGGCTATCCTATCTCGTTTATGCCAAAAGTTGACAATTTTCAATTAATCATATCTACGTAAATATGAAACAGAACTGAACCATTTTTGGGCTGATATGGGATTCAACTTTTACAATATCATAGTTTGCAAGTGATTCTTCAATCCCTCAAATGACATTCAGAGATTTATAATAAAAAGCTATTATACCTTTCTTTCTAATTTCTAACGGTTCCATTTTCTTGTGGTCTGATTTGCCTTTTTCTAATGCTTTAAGTTCAATGGGTAAACCATGACAATCCCATCCAGGTACATAGTGTATCTTATAACCTTGTAATAATTTATAACGATTAACTATATCTTTCAATATCTGTAAAATAAATATTTGTAAAATAAATATCATTTTGAAGATTCGTAAAAAAAATATCATTTATAAATATTCATCCATTCACTTGACTTGATTTGATATAAATATCATTTATAATGTCCGTAAAATAAATATTTATCCATTCCCTTGATTTGATATACATGTATATACGTTTGATGTTTATTACTTGAAATCACTGTGTAATTTATGTGTCCCATTGTCTGCAGGTTTTTCTAATGGGTTGTTTGTGTGTAGTGCGGTCCTCCTGCACTTACTATTTGAAAAACTGTCAATACATATCATTTTAATATCTATAAAATAAATATCAATTTAATATCTGTAAATAAATATCATTTTAATATTTGTATATCATTTTGATAATGGTTAGATTCAAATATTCTGCCTACTGAGTTGAGGGGGTTGAATGGCCAAATGGTTAGTGTGTGCGCGTTGTATCATAAGGTCTGTCATTGAGTCAACTGGTGTGGTTGTACGTGACAAGGAGTAGGGTCGCCTGTCCAACCTCGTGGGTTTTCGCTGGGCCCTCCCACTGCTAAAGATCCCTATGTGCAAGCAAATTATTGAAATAAAATTGGACCATATGTTAGTCCTGAAATGACCTAGTTTGTGTCGAGTGGACGTTAAACCCCATTTCTCTCTCTCTCTTCCTAATGCGTTGGGAGAGGTGAATGCAATCCTTTCTTGACATACCTTATTTATAGCATGACCAACATGTGTAGAACCATTGGCATAAGGTGGACCATCATGTAAAACAAACTGTTGTTTTCGGTCTTCACGTCTTTGCCACAAATATAATTCATCGAAACTGCAAACCTCAAAATAGAAAATACAATCAACATATAACATAAGACCAATACCAGTAATACGATTTGACTATACAAGTTTTAACATTAAATTGACAAAATGTGAAAAGTGTTTTTGTGATCAATTGACTTTTTACTAATTAGGTAAATCAAATGCTATCTTTTAATACTATTCAAAGTGAAATACCAAGTACAGTACAGTGAGTCATACAAAAAATTTAATGGTGAAAAGTGTCTTAGTGAATGACTTTTCACTAATTAGATAATACCCCTTTTAAAAAATGTTTAAGAGAAGCTATGGTTATTTTATTTCGCGGGAGTTGATAATGATAATGAAATTAATATACTCAGAATTTAGTAAAGAGGCTTCAGTCTATAGTAAAGTGCGTTGGCAAGTTGTAGAAACTCAACTGTCAGTCTATGTAAGAGGATTGGAGATGATCACTTATTGTGTTGGACTGTGAACCAGTTCAACACATTTTGTTTAACAGGGTTTTTTTTAGTATTCTAATATAGAGCGAAGCTCTACAGCATCGCGCGAAGCGCGGTGCTTGAGCAAAGCTCTTTTCCGGTAACACAGGAGCGTAACTGAAATTGTCACCCACAGACTGTTGATTAAAAATAAATTCAGACCGGAACCGGATTCACTGGCCAAAACAGGCAATACGCATGTCAACTTATCAAATCTCGCCCAAGCAAGATTACGCGCCTCGTCATAGAACTATTTCTATGACGCATCTAATCAATGACGTCACATATTTTTGACGTCAATGAAAATAATTCTCACACTTTTTTGTTCCTTTTTTAAAAAACAAAATTAATGTATAATGTATCTAAATGAAAATCAATTTGGAAAAACTAAATTATTTAACATTTTTTGTATCACTTGAGAAAATTAATTATGAAGGTTTTATATTTGACAATAATCATCTTCGCTCTACTCAGGCAATGCCTGTTACATATTAATTCTATCCAATTCCTAAGGTTATTTTCTTGGTGAGATAACAATGCTTTTTAAACATACTTTTTGAATATTTAATTCTCTTTTTATTGCTGCTCCATCTCTTAATGTTAATTGATAGTTTGTTTTAGGTAAGTTAAGTGTTTGAGTGTATCGCTTCGTTTTCTTGGGTTCTTTGGATTTTAGTCTGAGACTGGTGTGCAGACAATTTGGAGGTGACAGCCTGAATTCACGGGCCAAAATGCATCTGTTCATTGCCACGAAGAATGTTTATTTTCTTCTCTTCACCAGTCTTAATTTATTTTGACAAAATTCTCTTGAAAATCATAGAAATATGTATTTTCAATTTGTTGAAGTATAATGTTGCTATACACGGGGGCTGACATGTTGTGATTCAGCAGCAAAATATCTCAGCAGTCAGAATTATATCGCCTAACGCTTCATTTTAAAAATTCATTTTATGCGTCTTGCAATTCCTTATATCAAGTTTATCTAAAAGATTGGACCTGTTTTTTAAAACATGACCTTTATAATTAAATAAGTATATGTAAATATTATTATTTTAGTACAAGGTCAAGGACAAATGACATATTTTGGATTCTGAAAAATATAAAAAGAAACGAAATCTTCTGCAAACGAACCTGAAATTAAATATTGACGATTTATAAGCACTGATTTTGCATTGCCATCATACATGACGACATAATTATAGATTTTTTAAAAAGAAATGTTGACTATTTGCTTTGAAAACCTTTTATTCTATGATATTTTTTTAAAGTATAAAAGTAAATCTTGAGATTTCCGGGTTAAAGGTCAAATGGGCGGACCGTGCGCAGCTGATTCGAGAATATTTAATGCAATGATAATGAATGGAGACGGAAATCCAAAGATATCTAATTAACATGGTGTATCTGGCTTTAGAACATTGAACAGTCATGTCGGCAAATAGCTCAGGATTGCCATATACCGATTTACAAAACGCTCATAGCAATGACACTGCTAAAAACTTGGTGAAATTTGGTAGGATTGTCACTAAGGATATTCCTGTTTTTCCCATTCCTGTGAACAAAGCTCTCTCACCAAGTGTAGAACTCAGTTTGACTATTGCATATATTGTTCTGTATGGATTATTATTTTTTATGGTGTATGTTCAGTTGTGGATGATATGGTATTACAGACATAAAAGATTCAGTTATCAGACCGTGTTTTTATTTCTCTGTTTGGTGTGGTCGGGATTAAGACTGACGCTGTTCTCATTTTATTTCAATGACTGTGATAGAGCTAATAACCTGCCGGGAGTGATATACTGGTTTCTCTATTGTTTTCCTGTTTGCCTACAGTTTATCATACTGTGTTTGTTGGTCTTATTTTTTGCTCAGGTAAGCTTTATGTATGTATTGTATTTTGAAATGTTTTTGACATATAATATATTCAATCCCGGTGTTGTCTGGGAAAGTTCCCCAGGAATTTTCGGCGTTGTCTGGGAAAGTTCCCCAGGAATTTCCAGTGTTAAATTGGCTGAGAAAATTCATCACGATTTCCCAGTGGTGTCTGAGAAAGTTTACTAATTCCAGTTTGGTTTTGACATGTCAGTGATTCAATTAGACAAGAGAGCCTGGCACAGGGAACAAAATACCCAGGTTCGCATAGCAGTTTGCGATGTGCTTCCGATGTTACTGCGACTCAGTCTAAAAACTGATTAGCAAAAGTTTACTTGCAAATCTATAAAGTTGTGAATCAATTTTATCCGATGTAGTACCTTAAACTCCAATTATTAGTGCCTCAAAATTCAATTGGCAATATGAAAACCTTTCACAGATACTATCCTTTCTATACTACTACATTTTACAACACAATGTTCAATTCGGGACTCGGTCTGTTTTCGGTTGCACTTATCCAGGCATAATAAATGCGTCTGAAAACATGACTAGTACGCTGTGTGTCTGCACTCTTTTCTCTATATTGCTTTTTAATCTGATCAAAACAATGCTTGAAGTTTGACATCTTTTATGTAAAAAGTCGAAAGTTGCCGATTTGCGACGTCTGAAATTTTGACATCGCACACTTCCATTGGTCTCATTCACAGCAATTTTTGCACTATAAAACATAATTAAATACAATTGTGAATGTTCAGAACATGACGACTGAATAACGCTATATTTACATGCATTTATAATTAATTATGCATGATATTAAACTTATATAACTCTGGTGGACAAAGCTACACCGAGGTCTTCATTGCTGTAGGGGTAATTTAGACCATGTGATATCAACATGAAATATGTCGTCAGCAGTTGGATTTTGTTTAGCACCTGTAAATGGATCGTAAAGGACTGCTTTCTAAACTACCATCCACAATACAATTCTTGTCGTGTGACATCAGTAACTAGCAAATTATGCACAAAATATGAATTCAAAATATTAATATCTTCCAAAATAACAATAACTGCCAAACTTGACCGTGCTGTAATTTATAGGATATTTATTTATGGTAACGAAAAAGTAAACTGTTACATTTCATTAATATTGAGTCTTCATGATAGATTGTAACTGCACCTCAAATGACCAAAACTGCTAATCGGAATTTGATTAGATTAACAAAATGTTAACCAATGCTAACCAATTATTGACAGTTATTTTGTTCCCGGGAATGGCAAGGAAAAGCATCTAGCCATTTGCAAAACCAAAACTTAGATTTGCATGAAGAATATGCCAGTCTTCACTGGGGCGAAATTTCTGTCATAGCACATTTCATTACCCTGGTTGGTGCAGTTAAGAAGAATGTTAAATCCGAATTCTTTCATTTAGTTTAAATTAACTAATGGCATTTGAGGTTTTTACAAGTTAAATTAAATGTTTTGATATGCGAGCTTGGCCTAAATGACAAATAAAATTAAATACCAGAAAACAAGGAAATATTTGCTGGAAAGAATGATAGAAAATGCTGAATTACAGAGAAGTCATACTCGGCTTTTCATTTGAGCCTAATGTTTGATGACACATGCCTTGTTTATTATCACTATTAGAGACTATTTATGGTGTGCACTGTACACCTCTCTCTAAAATATACCAGTCTCTAATGTTTATCTTTGCACGCTGTAAAACTAGCATTTTTTTTCAAGCTCCATTTTTAAACATGCTGTGATTGATCTCTTGACGCACAGTGTACAATTGAACAGTCTGTACAGATAAGTGCATGTCAGCTTATTATTGGTGTTTTGTTAATAATTAATGATAAATGTTCGATAATGTCCGATAGTAGAACAATAAAAGTTAATCGTTATGTGAGAATTTTATCAATGACTGAAAAGAGGTCCATTGTTGCCCAGGGGGCGTAGATGGGCGAATGGTTAGCATGTGCGTGCTGTATCATAAGGTCTGTCATTGAGTCAACTGGTGTGGTTTTGATTCCCCGGTGGTACGTGAGAAGGAGTAGGGTCGTCTGTCCAACCTCGTGGGTTTTCTGCAGGTCCTCCGGTTTCCTCCCAATGCAAGCGAATTATTGAAATAAAATTGAACCATGTGTTAGTCCCAAAATGATTTAGTTTGTGTCGAGTGGACGCTAAACCCTTTTTCTCTCTATCTCTCCATTGTTGGCCATTCTCTATTTGAACACTCTTATAGTCCATGTGACATAAGAGTTTTCTAGAACAAATCTGCTATAGCTGTTTTATGTAAAAGAGATCAGTTTGATCTTCAGAAATAAAGGCAATCAGCACTGTTTGTCGAATTCAACTAACTATTATCATATTAAAGAAACTAGCACAGAAATTACATAAATTCACAACCAAGTGTTGGGAGAAAAACATCTTGGGCATTTTGTAAATTTACAATTTACATTTTGTAAATTTACAATTTACATTTTGTAAATTTACAATTTACATTTTGTAAATTTACAATTTACCGTAACATAAAAAGAATAAACATGAAAATTCTGTGATGTAAAATCACTAAACTAAATACTTGTAAAACTAAATGAGTTAGTGATGGATGAATTATTTCCTGGCCTATAGATATCTAAAGTTCTATAGTATGAGGGGAGTTGGGTGGCATGCTCTTAAGTAGATCTGGAGAAAACCCATGAGGTTAGGCAGGCAACCCTACACCTTGTCTTGTACATGTGTGATATTGAAACCACACCCCTTTATTCAATGACAGAACATATTATGATCTAAACGCTACAATCACTGATAAGGGTGACATCGATGCGACTTAATGAGTTCCAAATATTAACTTTTTTCTTCCGTCAAATTAAATTCTAAAACATTTTTTTCATTTATTAGAAAAATAAATAAAGATGTTTGAATTGTTTGTAGGTAAAAATCATTTCCTATTTAGTGTAAATGGGTATTAAAATAAGTAAAATTCACCATTTAGCCCGAATCAGTAACGTCTTATGTAAACAATGCACACGCTATTGAGCCAATGATTGACACCGTGGGATGTGACGTCACGTGTCGAAACAGTCATCTGTAACAGAGATATTTAAAGATCTCTGTGAATCAAATTGTGAACATGTTAGACAAATTCTTTAATTCTTTAAATGACATCTAGAAAGATGGTTAACTATTCAAAACAAAACACAACACTAGGTATATATGAATATAACTACTTCTCTGTTATTTAATAACGACGTTTCGTATCACATGCAGATCATGTTTTCAAGTTAGTTCGGACACCTGACTTACTGTATATGAGATGACCAGAGTTGTGCTGTAGATCTAATAGGTACTAGATAAAACACACATAAAAAGATAAAAATTTGCAAATAAACTTATCACATGATATTGGCATCAAGTGTAGATCATAAGGCCTGTTATCAATCAATGCAAGTCATGTGTTTGATCCCGGGTTTGTGTGTGAAGATTAGTAAGATCACCTGCCTAATCTCGTGGTTGCTCAAATTTGAAAAAAAAATACGACATGTAAGTTCGGAAATGACCGGGTTATTGTGAAATGGGTTTGTCTTTTATACACATGACTTTTAAAAAAATAGGACTTGAGTCAGAAATAAAATGTTCGATTTGATTGAATGTTACGTTATCAGACGGAAATCTGTTTCTGTTGTAAATTTTGTTTCTATTCTATAACTGATTTTGTGTTTCACAGTCCAGCTTCTTTTAACCTAAGGGAAATGCAGACATTGCTCTCCTTATTACTAATCAAAATAAGGTTACATCAAAGTTCAAAACTATCTAAATCAAAGGGGTTTAGATGCTTTATTATAATGTAAGTTTTATGCTCCTCCCCCCCCCCCCCCCAAGAAAAAACAACTTTATAAATTTAATTTAAATCAATGAATATTTAGTATTGTAACATATTTATTAAGGTTTGAATTTGGAAAGTGGGAAAAAAATATCCTGGGTAATTGAAGCCCCTTGATAATGCAGACCATGGATCTCAATTCAAAATTTTGCATAATTTCTTTTTCTCACATTACCAAGGCAATATTGTCAAAGAATATCAGTAATTTATTAGTCAATTTATTGCCAGTTGATGATTGACAGATTGATAAATATATTGAAATAATAGTCAGGATGTCTAGAAAATTTACTAGCTGAATAATATAAGCAGGTTATTGACTTGTGGCCAGCCTATTAGTATTAATATTATACATATCTTGTTGCTTGTTATCATGTGAAATCCTTCACCACAGGCATTTAGAAAAGAACTTAAATTAGCTGTGGGTGATTTGAATTTTTCGGAAAATATTAAATTTCTTACAGCTTAATCCACGCTAATATGTAGGCTACTCAGATCGATTATTTGACAGTTAAGTAAGGAAACAAAATCAAAATATCAACGCTAGATAATTTCCCGACTTGGATTTGATTGGATTAAAAAGAGAGAGAGAGAGGGAGAAATGGGGTTTAACGTCCACTTGACACCAACTAGGTCAATTCGGGACTAACATATGGTTCAATTTATGTAAATAATTCGCTAGCACCTAGGGGTCTTTAGCAGTGGGAGGAAACTAGAGGACCCGGAAAAAACCCACAAGGTTGGATAGCCAACCCTACTCCTTGTCATGTACAAGCAGAGATTCAAAATCACGCCACTTGACTCAATGACAGATCTTGTGATCAAACGCACACATGTTAACCATTCGTCCACCCAATTCCCAAGCTAATTTGTAGGCAGATTGATTATTTAAGGATACATTATGGGAGATTAGTTAAAGAGCTGGCAATTCTTACTATAATAATTAAAAACTAGATACTGTAAAGCCAATTTGCTGAAAATTTCAGTCAAATTGATCCACTATGAACCAAGATTTTAGCGATTGAATATTGGGGCTAGCCTAAAGTCGGTAGGATATCCATTTTTTGATTTAATTATGAATGGAAGTTGAACAGCAAATCAGAATGTAATCCAATAA